AGCAAGTGAAAGAAGAACCCCTTTCTTCCCTTTGACAACTACATATTGAACAATTAGTCATCACATAGTTGCGCGCTTAACCATTTTTATTCTGTACAATGCAGTAGGTACGCTTTGGTAGACTGGTCCCTTGCGTAGTTAGCTGCGCTACACGATAAGTATGTTATTTGGATAATCTCGTATTTCCTTTCCCAGAGGAAGTGTTTATCTGGTGTACACCGATCAAAACCTGCAAATATCTAGCCACCGTCAGCTTATGTCTCTCTCCGTCCACCTTATTCCACAATTTGTTTTATTATTTCAATGTTTCTCAACCAATTTCGTTACAGTTTAAATTACGTAAAAGCACAGATTATGGTTGAAATAAACTTTTGGTTTTACACGGTGAATGTCAAAGTCGTTTCTCTTGAATATTTAAGTTCAAAAACACCCTTCTGCGTTTTAAATCAGCGCAGCTTTTCTACTTGAAATCAATAAAACTGTTTCTATTATATAGTTTTGTTAACTCTCTGTATCTACACAGTGGGCTATCTGTGTTCTGACCGACACAGGTATCGAAACCCGGTTTATAGCGTTGTAAGTCCGTCAACATACCGCTGTGCCAATGGGGAGGGGGTTACATCAATGGTAGTGAAGTGATTTGCTTGTCCTATGCAATAAGCTGGAGTTTCATCAGTATGGTTTGGTCCATACTATATATATCTAAAACTGATCTGCAAGGCAGCACGGCTGGGATCATACTATACATCTAAGACTAACCCGCCGGGCAGCACGGCTGGGTTCATACTATACATCTAAGACTAACCCGCAAGGCAGCATTGCTTGGCCCGTACTATACATCTAAGATTGACCTGCAAGGCAGCATTGTTGATCCCGTACTATACATCTAATATTGACCTGCAAGGCAGCATTGCTCCAATCTATCACTTCAAAATTAGGGATGGCTAGTGAAGGTAGCCCTCTAGTAGCTTTGTGCGAAAATTCAACAAACAATAATTTCGGTTGTTCTTGCATTACACAGTATAGATTTTAAATCAAATTTGATTTTCTTATTCATTTTGCTTTTCTACGGATTAATTAAAAAAAACTTCTCTTAACATTTTATGTTTTTAAAACATTTTTTTCTATAATTGAAGTTCCCCGGTGGGACAGCGGTAAGTCTTCAGATTTACAACGCTAAAATCAGAAGTTCGATTCCCCTTCGGTGGACACAGCAGATAGCCCGATGTGATTTTGCTATAAGAAAACATGCGCGCGCGCACACACACACACACACACACACTTATCATGGAAGATGTTATACGTAAAAAAAAAACCCGGGCAGAATGTGGAATTCGGTCTCAGGGGATGTGCTAGAGGCACATTTCAATTACTGTACTTACTAATCTTTTAATTTGTATCAGTGAAACTGAAAACGTATTTATTTAAGGGCTCGGGGCCGGTGGTGGCTTAGTTTTTAACATAAAGGGTTGAGGACTACAGGGTTCAAGGTTTGAGACGTGATTCTGTTGAACACAATTCGTATTTACAACTTTAAGTGCGTTATAAAAGTGATAGTTAATCCCGTTACTACGTTCAAAGAGTTGAACAAAGCCCTTGTGGCGGTTGGCTACCTTCCCCCCTAGTCAGTTGTTTAAAATTAGGAATGGATATAACTGAACCCTAGTGGTCTTTGATTTAGCCATTTAGCCCATATGGGCATGAGTGCCGTTGGTTAAAATATCCAATTAAGGGCCCGAGTTTTATTCGTATTAAAAAGTTTTATTTCATTTTTTATTTTACGTTCGACCAAAATAAACTTAGAATTACATTAAATACACCATATCTTCCAAAAGGGCGCGGGTTATCTAGTTTTTATTGTTTTGACTCATCTAATTTTTAACTCTATGTAGTTTCTCAGCAATATAACACTATTAAACATTTTTTAAAAGAACCAACTCGTAAAGCAATGGTGAATCATACTAATCTAGTAATATGTGACGAAATTTAAATTAACGTGGTCCATTGTTAGATTTATCAGCGTACAAGTAAATTAACGTGGTCCATTGTTAGCTTCATCAGCGTACAAGTAAATTAACGTGGTTCATTGTTAGCTCCATCAGCGTACAAGTAAATTAACGTGGTCCATTGTTAGCTCCATCAGCGTACAAGTAAATGAACGTGGTCCATTGTTAGCTTTATCAGCGTACAAGTAAATTAACGTCGTCCATTGTTAGCTCCATCAGCGTACAAGTAAATTAACGTGGCCCATTATTAGCTTCATCAGCGTACAAGTAAATTAACATGGCCTATTGTTAGCCTCATCAGCGTACAAGTAAATTAACGTGGCTCATTGTTAGCCTTATCACCGTACAAGTAAATTAACGTGGTTCATTGTTAGCTTCATCAGCGTACAAGTAAATTAGCGTGGCACATTGTTAACTCCATCAGCGTACAAGTAAATTAACATGGTCCATTGTTAGCTTCATCAGCGTACAAGTAAATTAACGTGGTCCATTGTTAGCTTTATCAGCGTACAAGTAAATTAACGTGGCTCATTGTTAGCTTCATCAGCGTACAAGTAAATTAACATGGTCATTTTAGCTTCATCAGCGTACAAGTAAATTAACGTGGCCCATTGTTAGCTTCATCAGCGTACAAGTAAATTAACGTGGCCCATTGTTAGCTTCATACAAGTAAATTAACATGTCCCATTATTAGCTTCATCAGCGTACAAGTAAATTAACATGTCCCATTATTAGCTTCATCAGCGTACAAGTAAATTAACGTGGCCCATTGTTAGCTTCATCAGCGTACAAGTAAATTAACGTGGCCCATTGTTAGCTTCATACAAGTAAATTAACATGTTCCATTATTAGCTTCATCAGCGTGCAAGACAATGTGATTTTGATATAAAGATAATCTGATAGTATATACCACCTAAGCACAACCTGTGGCTTTCGATAATGAATGATATTTCAAATAACTAAACAACAACAACTAAAAAAGAGCATTATTTGAAATAAGTCAAAGGAAATGAGTAAAAAATACCTGTTGATGACTTTATAAATGTCGTAACAAATATAGTCACTTAACTTTTGCGTAAAATTAAAAGTGTAAAAGAAACTCGTGTAAAATTGTGCAAAATAAAAAAACTCTTCCACGCACACACAAACTAATTCGTTTTAACGTAAGATAGTAATGATAGCACCGTCCTTAAAATGTACATAATTATTAATTAATATAATCACTTTTCGGAGTTTCATCTCCGCGGCGGACAGTGCGCAGATAGCCCATCGTACAGCTTTGCGCTAATACAAAAACGTACAAACAATTTTGTATACATATTTCCTTGCAAATGAATTGTTGCAAAATATGTTTTCACATAAAAGTTGTAAAATTATCCTCAGTTCTAGATTGAAAAAACCCCACAACAACAACAACAACAAAAAAAACATGCATAATTCATATTCTTTTTACGTATACGCTGGACAAATCTTGGATTTATAGGATTATGTGAGTGTAAGGGGATGCACTTCCATGGAATGAATATGCTACCGAATTGAATGAATAAGATAAAGTACTCTGTATTATTTTTTATAAAAAGGATCATCATATCATTTCTAAGTACCGAACATGAACTCGACCAGTGAATGCAAAAAGATGCTTAATTAAAGATATTAGGCTTAATTAAAAATATTACAAACAGTTTACAGAAGTAAAAAATATTACTGCCGTAAAAAATACCATATGTACGTCTGTGTGTGTGTGTGTGTTTCTCTAAAAGTTCGATCACCGAACTATTAAATATTAATAATGAGTTAGACAATTCAAATTTCAAAGTTATATTGTCGTAATCTGACGAATTAATTATAGTATTAACATTTAAATATTAAAGCTGTCGATGCCTTATTAACATACGTAGTAAATAATGTGTCTGTTAACTAGCAATCACGTGCTGTTAGTTTGATTCAGCACTTAATTTACAGTTGCATAGGAATCATAAACAAAAAACAGGCGAAATTATCCTTGAGATTTGCGTCCCATTCTCGGCTATTTTAACATATTATATGTGGTTAGGGCACTCGACTTAAAATCTGCGGATCGCATTATCGAATTCCGTCAGCAAACATGTTTGCCCTTTCAGTCGTGTAAGCGTTATAATGTGTACGGCCAATCCCATATTTGTTGGGAAAGAGTAGCCCAAGATTTGGTTGGCTGTTGGTTGAATTGACTAGTTGCCTTCCCTCTAGTCTATCACTTTAAAATTACGGAATGCTAGTACAGATAGCCCTCGAGGAGCTTCGCGCAAAATTCAACAAACAAACAAATAGTACATGTGGTTAGGCTAGAACCTGACTAGTAGTTTTAATGAAGCATTTCGAGCTTCTGAATAACATATTATCATGGGCGTCCGTAGAAATGTTTCTGGGGTGGGGGGTGGGGGGGGAGCAAAGTAGTGTGAAATTGTGAAGTGAAAAAAAAATCCATATGCCTATGCTGAATGAATAAAGAAAGGATTATGTTTCTCATTTACCGGGTGGGGAGAACCCCCCCCCCCCAGGGGACGCCCTTGCATATCGTATTTGGAACTTGAAGATTCACAACCCTACTTGCGTGCATCTTACTGTTACACATCAGTAGACAAGAGTACTCACCCTGGTAGTAACAAAACAACACAGTTCACATACTCTTAACAGAAATTGTGTTTCCATTATCATCTCGGAGGAAACCAAACCCGTCTTTATCTTATCCGACAAATGTGCGATTGTCGAAAAAAATCATCATATCTGTTAAAATCTTTTTCTGGTGAAAAATATTGCCATAGTTATATTTTCACATACTTCTTGTTATAGCAAATGCAAGTTAGTATTGTTGGGTGTCATAATTGAAGATGTAAGCTGTTCTACAGCTTACATTTTGTGCTTATTTAGACTGAATTCATGAACACATTGTGCTGCTCCATTTAACGTGTATAGTTCGTTCGTGAAGGATGAGAAAATTTTCTGAATTCACCATTTTTATGCAATTTTCTGTGAAGATCCCTCCATTACAGGGTTGTGGTTTTCTCCCGTTTCTTTCAGCGTGTCTTCCAGGTCTCGAATATAATTAATCGCCATGCGTAACGTTTCAACTTTACTTAATCTGCGATCACGCTCTTTATCTGGCAATGGCAAATGGTTTCTGAGACGTTCAAAACCGTCATTAACGTTTCGAACACGTAGTCGCTCTCTTTCATTTCTTCGACATATGAAAGATGGTTCCAGCCAATATTCGTAACTTGAGTAAGGATTTGGAAGTGGGATTTTACAAGTAGGGGAGAAGGGGTCAGGCTTCTTAGGAACGTTAGGACTTATCGGTTTCAGCTGATGTTGCTCTAACACTTTGTTTATATCATTATCAATTTCACGCCTAATCAAAGGTGGTGTGGCTTCAGTGTTGGCAGGAGTCAACAGATCAAACATGGAAAAATGACGTAAACCCTCTATACTTATATCATCGGTGTCGTCCATTGCAGATAATATATCTGTCTGAAAACTCAGAGGTGTCAACAAAGTGTATTCGGGACATGGTGAGTTCAGTGAAGACGCCATGTTGACGATGAAATTCCTTTCCGAAAACTAGAATATATAAAATGAAAATTATTTATGTGAGTGAACAGGTAAAAAAAACAAAACATTATAGGATTTCAAATGCTATGAAAATAATTATATTATTTTTTGGATAAAAGTTTCTATTTTTATATGTATACCACTGAATGTTGAAAGTACGCATCATGTAAAAAGGTAGTTCAACGTGCAACTTTTAGCAATGTAATAAAAGTAAAGAAAGAAACATTTTAAATAGTAAGTTCTGGTTCATTTAAATGATACAACTTATAAACTATCATCCATTAAAGAATAAGTACTATCACAATTTGAGGTGTATGACCCCCCCCCCCCACCTCACTGGGAGAAAACAAAAAAAAACATACTGATACACATTAACAAAGATTCACAATGGGCTAGCTATGCTGTGCTCCACAGGTATCAAATCTCGAGTTTGTAATATTATAAGCCTTCAGACTTACCGCTGCGACACTTGGTGGTGGTGATGGAGGGGACTTTTCCTAGATTGAATCAACATTTTTCATATAATAAGCATCTCGAACAAAAATCGTGAATCATACACCCATATCATTTTCTATAGTGACATTTTGTTTGACTTTCAAATTTATTTTACTTTAATGTGGCGTTTATGTGTAGTTATGCATATTATCGTATAATGAAAAAACTTAATCTCCTATAACGTTTGTATCAAAAGTTACTTTGTTTTTCACTCGAAGATAAACTTTATAAGACTTCTATCTAGCTGACATTTTTGAAACTATATTTTCCTTTGAAAATTTAAACGCCTTATGGTTATTATCTTGCATTCTAAAATCATTATAGCTATATCCTAAGCCCTGGCACGGTCTGGTCGTTAGGGCTCTCGACTCACAATTTGCAGGCCAGGGAATCGAAATCCGTCTCCGAATATGTTCGTCCCTTTCAGACTTGAGAGCATTATAATGTAACGGTAAATCCCACTATTCGCTGATAAAGTGTAGCCCAAAAGTTGACGATGGGTGGTGTTGATTAGCTGCCTTCCCTCTAGTCTATTACTTCAAAATTGGAAATGGCTAGCGCAGATAGCCCTAGAATAGCTATGCGCGAAAAGTCAACAAACAAATACTTTCTTAACGTTATTCGTAATGGTTTTCCCAGAAACTGCATTTTTATAATCTAACAGATTTTTACAATCGAAAATAAGTTTTAAAAGAGGAATGAATAACTAAATGAATCATCGAAAAATTGAGATAAATCAACCAAGGAACTCTTGTGTGCGAAAATTCGGTTTATCTTGTCCTTACAAGTGAAGAACTGAATGGTACATGAATTGCAAGAAATTTCCTTGAACTTTGTATTAATTTCGTACACAACGAAAAACAATGCACACCAACGCATGTAATTCAAGTAGAATTTGAGTGAAAGAGCTGGATTCATATAGATTATACGAGATGATACACAGGGGTGGTACTAGGAAATTTGGAGGGGGGGCTAAGCAGGAATATTTTTGGGACTTCTTATCCCCTCCCTAAAAATACCAATTGTGTTATTTCTATAACGCAAAAAATACACCAATACAATACTTATAAAAGTACAAGAACATATTTTCTTTTGTTTGGAAGAGGTTGTTGTAAAAGTTTAAATTTGCCACTTCGTGCAGGAGGGGAGTTGGGTTCATAAAGAAATTGAGTGTCTTTCTCAGCTAATATATTATCTTTAGTTGAAAGTACCATCTTAGAACTTTTAAGATGCCTTTTAAAATCATCCCCCTTTTTTTTAAGAACAGCATCTTAACAATTTCCCATCTTATTGGTAAAGGAATTTTATGGATAAACGTCTTATTTTATAGTGGATTTTGCATTTTGAAACATACTTCTGTCTTCAATATAAAATGTTTCGGATATCATACTTTATATATATACACCTGGAAAAAAGTTAAGCACCCCCAAATATTTTTCAGGATTGCTTATTGAAAATAAGGTTTAATTTTCGTGATGTTGAGCAATGTTCATAATTTCAAACATAATTAAAAGGATGTGATCGTTCAGGTGTGACATTTAAATCAGGTCGCGTTTTTTTCCCCACGTGCAACTTGCTCCCTTCTTCACGTCCAATATGCACTATTTTCTCGTGCATCAAATCCGTATTTAAGTCCCGAATTTCTGAATGCAAAAT